CGAAATAAGGTGAATACATCTCATTACACTGATTTACTGGTAGTCTCGAAACCCTACTCTTATACGAATAGTCTTCTTCACTTAAATCTTTTGCAATAATGAATTCCATCGCTGGTAATGTCTGTCAAGCGGCATCATGGGCGAATGTTCCACCTACAGGCTTTCTCGTGGACTGCGCCAACCTGAACGGCTGCAGAACGACGGCACTCAGCCGTCGTCTTCCTGCAAGATGACTCTAAGAAACTCTTCATCATTTATTTTCATGCGAAATGAAAATCTCGACAACAATTTACACCGTTGGTTTGACCCCTTTTTCACAACTTAGTCGCGTTTCCGGGACGAATTCTAGTAGCAACCTACCCTGTGCTGCATTATCTGGCACCGTTGTCATATCATATTCTAGCCTTAGTTCGTTGACTGAGAACATTCGCAGGCATTGTTCTTCATACTTATCTATGATAATAGGGCTTCAAGGTGAAACGTGACAAGGGGAAACTTCTTAATCGCTCGACAATATACCTATCAATGTGACTAATTTTATTCGTCCCATTTGCCAAATTGTAACTCATATCTAAGGTTATCACTGCCCACCGACGAAACCATCGAAACTTCTGTGAGTGTTCTCAACCCACAGTTTGTCGCTGGAAGAGGACGTGACAACCGCAGGCGAGGACTCAGTGTGGGGTCCTGTCTTCAAAGTCTCTCTAAAAATATGACTACTGCGTAAAAATGCTATCAAATGGATTAATTAGCAGATTGGTTTCTCAATTTCACTGAAAAAGATTTAGGAGACTTGTCCTCGGGCCTAAAACGTTCTTCTGTATTCCAGTCTGCTGATCCCGGAAGGTTGATCTTTATTTGGTTCCCCAAAATGCTATGATCCCAAGGGAACAGAAGGTCACTCTTCAGTCGAAGTCAAGTATTTTGCGAGTGGGAGGAGATGGCCGAGTTATTTCTTGTGCTGATGCACAAGACCGAGATACGAGACGGAATCCAGTGGTTTCCTTTTTGCCCTTTTTAACAACGGAGACCAGAATAACGGAAATGGGGGTCTGTAGTTGACCCACAGCATTCATTCGTTGCTCCTACTCATGTTTGCTGATGTCTACTGGTTCCCCTCTCATGTGCATGTATGTGTCCTACCTTGTTTTCCAGCCTCACATGGTCATTCTTCTTGCGATGAAGACGAATGTTCTGGTCCTGCTTTGCGTGGTCCTTCAGTGAATCCAAAAAACTCTACATTCTGACCACTCTTTCAATGTTTTTCTGGAAGCTCTACGCCATTCGGGTGAAGTTGAGATAAGGCTGTGCATTTAAGGCCAATTTAAAAGCGATACAGCAAGTGAAAGTGCGGCTGCTGTCCGCAGCCCCTGCAAAATTCCAACTGGAATTCCGTCAGACACGAAGGCTCTCGGTGATAAACGGATAGTCGTTTAGGGTTAAGCAGGAGCTTTTGCGGTTCCCCGGAGAGTGCATCTCATCACTGAGGTAGGTAAGGGTTCTTTTTAAGCCGTCATGACAAGCAGTCACTTCCCAGGTTCCCATGTCTTCTGCCATATCAGGTTTCATGGGCAGCAGCCATTTTGGAACCGGCTCAGCCCAACTTGTTGCCACCACAACCACCCTCCACAATCGAGGCGTCATTAGAGCGATAAATACTGCCTAATGAATGTGAAAAAATGAATGTATACTGCATCATTTCAAGAGTATTAATCGCTGCAAAAGTACTATTTTACGCTTTTTACAGAAAATATTCTTTTCAAAATGACGCCCTGTTTAGCGCTAAAATTAAATGCAAAATTGAGGCTGCTTTAATACAGGCTGATTGTATATATTAGCCGCCGATTCTGCTGTTGCCCCCAAGGGACTTATGCTTGTACTTTAGGCGGTGAAATTTCTCCTGCTCTCTGACAAGTCATTTTCACAGCTTGTGGCAACCCTTGTCTTCAGGCAACATGCTGACAGACAGTTTTGTCCGGATAACGCGAAATGCCTAAAGGCAGATGCACACTCCCTTCTTAGCAGGCAACAGTCGTTAAAACAAAACACATGTGGACATATTTCGTACAAATTTATATCTCAGACGCGAGATCTGCTCTCCATGGAAACAGATGGCAATGTCTTTCCAATTCACCTAAAACGATGTGTCGCCGGCACATGATGTGAAGAAGCGTGGTTTGGGCCTGCACTAGTATCCCAATTAGGCAGTCATCGAATGGGGGTACAGTGTCGGTCGATTGGTGTTCACTTGCCCAATTGGTTGGGTTGAGAGCTTTTGGTCGTGCAAACATTGAAATGAAGCGTTGAGTTGCACAAAATCACTTAAAGAGTCTTCATAAGCCAGCTTTTCTGTAGTAATCTTCCTCATTTTCTCCAACGGATAGACTGGCTAGCTTGTCTGCAATAACTCGGGCGATAGACTAGACCAACAATGATAATGGCTTACAGCCTATTCGAGTGCGACTAGATTTTTCCGCCTCCTTTCATCCTTTTGCCAATCTACCGATACACCCTCACTCAGTTGCCTAGCCAACAGAACTTCCTGACTCCTTCAATTGACTCTTTCCATTTGGAATAGCCCAACTACTTCCATTCATTACGCATTATTTTCAACAAATAAACAGACACAACAAACAAGCTATTTCTTCTGTGCCCGCCCAATCTGCATCGCTGTCATTCTATGCACTTGTCTATCAATAAACTCATTTTGTCCATCCAAATGTAGGAGGACTGGGGCCGTCGAGGCGACTGGACCTCAGATCCTCAGCCATCATCAGCCACCAGTGTCCATTTGCGGTACCAGACCTGGACACTGCTCCGAGTGGAGGGTAGCAGAGAGAAGAGTCGAGGCTTGAGGTTGTATAAGGCCTGAGTCACCTTCGGATTTGCTACACACAGGCGTTGATTAATTACCCATTATGGTGGGCTAGAAGAGTTTGTGCAAGAGGCCAGGACGCAAAGATGTATAGGCCTTGGTTACAAGCGGTTAAAAATGAACACAATATGGGAACGAGGCGTCCGGATAGGGGAAGAAGGCTATGGTAATATGTAAGCCAATTGTGAACATTGCTGCACCATAGTGCAAGGGAATAGATAAGGTTCAGACGCATTTATTAGCTTCACCCGATTTCGATCAGCCTGCTTCTGAAAAGAGCGTTGGTGCCTTGCTCGCTTGGGGTTCCGTAAGTCATTTCTGGGAAGGGTCCATACACGCCGTGGGGCTGTAAAATCTGACGCCGCTCGCATAAATATCTCTATTGTTATACGAGTAAAATTAATGAAGGAGAATTAAATTCGTAGTAAGTACGCTTCGAAATTAGCATTAGATACTAGAAATAGTAATACTCAGCATCTACTGTTTGCTTCGAAGCCTACTCAATACAAATATAAGTTTTGTGCTCGATCGCAACAGCAAACTCATGCCAGAATGCCGCAGTGGAAGCATGTCTGGAGTATACGTTGTACTACCACAGCCAGGGGTGGTGATAGGGCCAAATCAAAGTCCACTTTGGATAAGAGTAATTTTTGGGGAAAAAAAGTTATGTGAAATTTATTGGAAATGTGAGACATATTTTGGTCATTTTCCGAAGTTTCAACTATCAGTCCTTCATCATCATATGCGACCTGAATTGAATACAGCTCTAAGTCAAGTAGATAGATTAGGCAATTACTGTGTACACCCTAGGTATAAAGATCAGGATTGCGTGGCCATTTGTATGGTCGCGGTATCCTTTCGTTTTACAGAAGTTGTTTGACCTTGGTTTGCCAACTTGGTCATATTAGCAAGTGCGTTCCTCTAGGTCTTCCTGCTAATATGATCAAGTTGCGAAATCGGGGTGAAACAACTACCGTGTGCATCCTACTTCGTTTAAGGAAGTGAATGACAGTTTTTATTCATGACCTATTTAAGACAAACTAAGCAAATGGATTGTTAGGGGAACTTTCATTTCGTATGAAAGTGCATGAAGAAGAGAAGGATAAAACTCGTACTGCAGCCGTTTGGCTTTTATACGACATTCATGTTGACGCAGTCCACGAAACTTCCTCCCTCGTTTCGGGTGAAAATGTGCTGAGCTTTCGTCCATCATATCAAGAGCTTCATCAAAACCCAGTTTCTCTTAGTATCTATAAGTTAATGTAGTCGATTGTTATAGCAAATATAACTTTGCCTCTTTGACAATCCCATCACAGAAATGTGATATGGGAAAGACCCATGCTTTTGTGGAGTTCACTTCTGCTCTATGACCAAAGGGCGCTCATGACAGTGTGGTGTAGTGATGAACGTGGCGAAACTATATGCTGCAATACCCACATATGAGTCCTGCTGAGGGTGAGGTTGAAGCTGAATGAGAATATCTTTTGGGAAGCAAGGCCAGGTGGGATGTAATTAAAAAGTGAGGCCTACTCATATGATCATTGGAAAATTCAACTACCATTCCTTCGTCACCTTAACCGAAATAGGATGGACACAATTCCCACCCAAGATCTACTGTTAGGCTCAAAAGCATACTTGAGAAGGAAATAAGAATTAAAGTAATTGTTTGACCTTACCTTCGCAACTTGATCATATTGACAGAAAGACTTAGAGGAACCTACCTTGACCAGAGTCCATAGTATGCATGATAATTTCCAGAGGGACTTGGTACATTCCCAGACATTTCGCCGGTATCGTCAGTGAGCCTTGCCAATCTTTGCACCACACTTCAATTGTCTCTTTGACGAGTTGTCGTGTGGTGCTAAGAATGGCAAGGCTCACTGAAGATGTTGACTACGATGCCGGTGAAAGGTCTGGGAATGTACCACGACTACTGTCCGACTCTGGAAAGTATC